TATTGTGTTAGTTGCCAATTTCTCTTGTAAACAAACACATACATGTGCTTAATCTGGCAGTGATTTGGGTGAATTTTTCCTTAAGGAAACAGCAATATCACATGAGGCTCATCTTTTTGAACTCTTTACTTATTGTTGTTAAAGTTACACTTACTATCAGGGTAATCATTCATCAAGGTCTTCAAATATGATAAAAAAGACATAAAATGGTGAATGGGAAACACTCACCCAACAAAAATTACACACAAGTTCATTTTCTGAAATGAAATTGTGTATTTCAGTTACCTTGATACTTTGTACCAGAATAAACTGAATAGAATTCTAAGAATGGCACTATTCTTTCCATTCCTCTAATGAAATAGCAATAACAACAACAAAAAATAATAACTTGTGAGATTAACATTCCAATCCATTTTCTTTTCCTTCAAATTTTATACACTGAACTTTAATAAATGATTGAAGTCACCATTAATAGAATGTTACATGATCCCAAAATTAAAATTACATGGCAAGTATAAAAGCATGAAATCACAAAGGGCTCAAGAGAAAAAAAATTACTAAACACTAACAGAAAAAACATCAATTGTCAAAAACTCTTCATTCCAAAAATAGGAACATGAAACATATTACAAATATGAGAAAATTACCTGATGCAAAAAGCATAAAAATATCACACAATAATAATTCATTTGTACAAGGCAAGACATGAAAATGGAATGTATAATTTTTAATTTCTGGAATATAAGTGAAAGGAAAGTAAATCATTCAAAACGTTTTAGAATAAAACAATATGTATTTTGTGGAAACATATTTTGGTGTTTGGTATGTAAAAGTCTTCTAGTGGTGGCGACGGTGTAATGGTTAGCATACCGGACGGTTCAAACCTAATCAAAGCCGTGGATTCTTAAGGGTGAAGAAATCCTTCGAACGCCTTCCTGAGGAGGGGAAGTAAATCTGGCTGTCCCATGTTAGTAGATTTACTAGCATGTAAAAGATCCTCAAGACTAAATGACGCCTCTGAGCTAAATTCAAAACCACCTGTTTTGTCGCCCAAGAAATACCTCCTTTCTCCGCTAGTAGGTAAAAGGAGCGTAGCGAAATTTGTGTTGTCAGACGGAAGAGCGGGCCTGATGGCCCCAGTCTCGCCACATAAAATAAGGCATCAATTCAATTCAACTCAATTTTCTTCTTATGACTCTTTGACCAGCTCTCGGGTTGAGCCCTGATCAGAGCCCTTGGATATTTTCAAAATTAGAATAGTCTCAGACTCTATTTCTATCAACAAACACTCATGTGAATTCTTGCCTATAATTTTTGTCATTTATTTTGCAGGCAGACAATTCAAAAACTTTGCTTCATATTTTTTTTTAAGTTTGGCAACACTGTAAAATGCCATTATGGCCTGCAAGCAATAATAATTTTTTTATGGCTAAAAGAGACCATTAAGTAAAAGTTCATTGTTTATTCAAGAATATGAGAGTGCAAGTGCATTATTGCTAACATACTAAAATAATTGTTCAGCATTAGTAGGCACAATGTAATTCAAGGGAGAAATTTCTGAATATATGAAAAATTGAAGACAATAATGTACTTCAAAATTAAATTTACTAGGCAGCGAATACCTTTGTCCAGTTATAGTCTCCTGCATAGTCCATCAAACAAAAGATACGGGGGAAAAAACAGTATTTTAAGGAATGTTAAAGATATGCCCCACAGTACAAAGGTGGATCTATGAGAGGGGGGGGTAGGGCGATCGACCTTCGATTTAGTTAATTAATTTGTTTTACTAAATATAGGGACTTCTTTCAAAAAATTGTATTAGATAAATGGAATGTTTTAATATTTTTGGAATGTTTTGCTTGTTTTGTGAATTAAATTCAATTAGCACTTGAAACTTTTTAATGTAGCTTGATAATATAACACTCCCTAGTACCACAAAACACACCACTCCTCCTCCACCTTATTATGATTTTGAGTTTCCAATGTTAATGCCATAAATATCTTGTGTGACTGCAAATGTCTGTGGTAAGAGGCTTACACCATGCAGTGACAAAATTATGTGTCTCTGACTAGAGTAGAGTTAGAACCCAGGCACTGCAAAGGCAAGTGGGTCAATTATTGAAATGCAGTGGCTTAACGTTTGGGCCTGCAGGGCCCACAATGCTGGTGGACCCAGGTAACAGAGAGCCTACTTTCAGGGGAAAGGTTTTGTGATTGTAAGAAATATAAATTACTTGATACTCTCTCTGATATTTTGCAATAATTGATAGAATAAAAGATTAAAAACAGCATCTTCCAGAAGTACAATTTTTTTCTGGTTTGGTAGCATGTGAAACCCTGTTTCTAAATCAATAAGGGAAGCAATCCATTTACAATTGATAACATTCCTAATTTCATACAATTAAATAATAAAGGCAGATTTTTTTTACTATTGGCTACAAAACACAAACTGATGAACTCAAATTTGTTACAAGATATTTTTATTATTTAAGGTACAAACACTACTTGTGTTTGCTATACACTTTTATAAATTGGGGTCCCGGATTAAAGTTTTGTGGGCAGGCCTGCACTCATTTCATCATGCTACTGATCAAATTCCTGCTGTCATCCACGGAAAGTTGCAAAGGAAAACTATCTTCCACGAGTTCAGCTTTGAAGGGTCAATAATATATAACCACCATGTCCTAAATAGATAACATCAATCACTGTCAGCAATATTATAGAGATCATTATTTTGCTGGTGTTTAATGATGATTACATGAAAATTGTGAAATAAGGACAGTATTTTGAAGGATTTCGTTGAAATTGTGATGAAACTTGAATGAGCAAGTAATAATTTTGTAGTTGGCGACATGTGTTTGTACACTTTAAAAGCAGAAAAACAATACTGATTCATGAGGAGAAATTACAGATGTTGCCATTCTGAATCTCAAATGAAGTATCTGAAACACCATGCAGAAATAAATTTCTTCAGGCCAGTAAAAAACTACTATTTCACATTTGTTAATCTGAAACTTGGTAATTACGAAGCAGAACATGCTCAGACAACACCAATCAACCCCATTCCCCCAAAGAATCCAGAAATCTTCCCATTAATAAATCCACTTTAGTACAATCAAAAACGCAAAGAGGCTGCAAAGAACGTGCTGACTCCTGACCAGTGGCGGATCTAGAGTGGGTGGCGGGGAGTCATGGGAGCCACCCCTACAAAAGTCCTAATTTTCGTTTGTTACCTTTCTTTATTTGGCAAAATTGATTTAAATATTTATTTGTGTTGGAATTATGTAATTATTTAGACATAATATTGTGTAGTATCATACATACACCACTGAAATAATACACAATATAATAACTAGGGGGCGGATTTTGATGACCAAAAACATTGCCAAAAATAATCAATAAAATGCTCTTAAAATACTTCAAAAATGCCCTAAAAAACAACGAAAAATGTAAAAAATTGATCAAACTTTAGATGAGTAACTCAAATTGTTTGATATATTACTGATGTGGTCGAGGCTTCTTCCTTTTGTTCAAGTCAACTCATTTTGAAAACTTTGGGTTTGGACTATTCTTTATAAGAAAATCTCTGCCTTTATTTATTGAAAAATCAGCCAAACTGACAATGGCACCGTGAAACATCACAGGAATCTTAGATTACATAGTACTCACAACGTCTGACTTAACAATATATGAGCAAAGAAATCAAACAGGTTACTCAGAAATTTTGTGGTGAACATTTGTTGCACATTGTAAATATTGCAAGTACCATTAAAATGATATTAAAATCGATGTAATCAGTTAAAAATGGAGTAAAAATGACGTAAAGGTAAAAAATGACACCCTAAATTGGAAAAAGAAAGAAAGAAAGAAAGACATATATGGGTCATTTCGTTTCGTCAAAACATAAAATGAATGTTTGTACCGAACGTCGTTGTTCTAAAGTGGAAAAAAAAAAAAAAAGACATATCATCAAAATCCGCCTCCTAATAATAACAACCTTGTATTACGTAACAAAAATCTATAACGGCCCGTCCCCCTCACGCGATCTCCCCGCGCAGCACGGCGACGCACTCGTCCCTGTGGCCGGCCAGGGCCAGGTCGAGCGGCGCCAGCCCGTCGGTGGCCCTGAGCCGGCGGTCGGCGCCCCTGGCCAGCAGCTCGCGCACGCACTCCGCCAGCCCCGACGACGCGGCGCAGTGCAGCGCGGTGTAGCCGTCCTTGGCGGCGGCGTCGACGGCGGCGCCGGCCTCGGCCAGCGCCGCGATGCATTCGCGGGCGCCGCCGCGCGCCGCCGCGTGCAGCGCCGTCTCGTGGAAGGCCGTGCGCGGGCCGTCGGCGGGCACGCCCGCGCGCAGCAGCGCGCGCACGCACGCCGCGTGGCCGTGCGCGGCGGCCGCGTGCAGCGCGCTCTCCTCGCCCGGGGCTAGAAGAAGGACGACCAATAGGAAATAGTATCAAGTAAATCCTATAACACGGAAATAGTATATCAAGTAGGGGCGGGCCCAGCCGACAATTGGGGGTTGGGATCATAATTTTTTTATAAATAATAAACATATTTGTAATTGTATATTATTTATGTACCGCAGATAATACTATACAATATTATTGTTCAAATAATTCAATAACACGAACATAAACATTTAAATCAATTTTGTCAAATAAAGGAAGGTATAAGAAAATTCGAGGCCTTTGGGGAGGGAGCATTGCTTCCAAGCCACCCCCCCCCACCCCCCGGTTCCGCAAGTGATATAAAGTAAACGACTAAATACATTAAGATAAATTAAAATGCACCCTTTCAAGAATATCATTCTTTTCCTAGGACGAATTTCCCTGACTTTTCCAGGTCGTTGTCCAGGTCTTTTCCTCATTTTTCCATGGCAAAATTTCGGAAAAGTTTGAGGGTATTTACATAACTTTTTTGGAGGGGGTGGTATAACTGTGTGGAATTATAACAGAGCAAAACCTGCAGGGCATCTGGCAGGGCGCCCGGCAAACGCACCCGTGGCGGTGGAGGCGGTGGAGGCGTCGGGGCGCACGCCGGCCCGCAGCAGCGCCCGCAGCGCCGCCAGCCGCCCGTCGCGCGCCGCCGCCCGCAGCGCCGCCTCCCCGGCCGCGCCCGCCGCCAGCGCGCGCGCCCGCGCCGCCAGCAGCTCCACCACCTGCGGCAGGCACCGCGCCGTCGTAAACCCTCGGACTCGCTTCCGGCTTTCCATGCTCTTTAAAGTTATTCGATATTTCATTTGTGCCCCCTAGCGTCCGGGTATTCTTTTAAATAGGCCTTCTAATTGGTACACCACAATCTCTCAAGAGGTTTTGTATTTTTTATTATATTGCGTTTATCATATTGCGACAAACAAATTTTAGGTCACAGAAGCCTGAGGTGGGTCTGCCAGACTCATATGTAGTTTCGGCTTTTCCTCATTACCGATGGGCTTTTAAACTGTGACGTTTTTCTCAAATAGAATTTCTGGTTGTAGTAGTAATTGTCAGATGTCTTCTGCGTATTTCTATTGTTCCTAGTGAAAAATGTGTAAATATTTATCGCCACTCACGTATATTTGACACGATTGCACTGACCGTTCTTGGTTGTATCCAGTGTTGCTTTAGTGCGTGATTGTGAGGTTTTTATGCGGACTAGGTATTTGCGGGTAGTAAATATTTTCAAAATTGAATCGTGAGATTTTTATACTTCTTTGCGAATCAAATACTTTCATTTGTGAAGTTATCAAGAAGTCTCGTCTGAGTCACACTGAGATTCAGACGTGCCTCGATTTGGATGATAAAAATGTATCTGATGCATTATTTTCGGGAAGCAAAGATAGCGATTACCATCCTGAAAAGTGAAGTGTGAAGAAAATAATATTAGTGTCAGAAGTAACAACAGCGACAACGTTCAGTGTTAAGACACTTGTCATTACAATATGTGAAAAAGAAATGTATTCGCGGAACATTCTTTATACCGAAAATATTGTTTTCAACGAAAAAAGCAAATTCATTATTGTCCAAAATATAATAAATAGTAATAAAACAATGCATTTTCATTGTTGTCTCTTCTAACAATCAAAAACAAATGGCGCATTATCGTTCAACCCCGACGAATCCGACGGACTCACCTTAGGCTTATTCGGTTGAAAAAACGCTTGGGCATTCTAGGGTTAAGGCTCTCGCAGAACCGGGAGATCCGCAGCGGGTGCGGCGCGGAACGCTCCGCGCTAGACGCGGTGGCGGAATCCGCGGGACCCTTCACACCGCAGCGTCAATTAAGACTCAGCGTTTGGTGTCGGTTTTCCTCGTCCAGTAAACAATAGCAAGGGGAGCCCGATCCAGAGGGGAGCGAAGACTCCCGAAGGCAGGGGGACTTCCACGGAACTCGGGCGGCAGCGGTCAAAACGCGTCCGACTGCGTTCCCAAATCTGCAGGTATGAAAACCCTGCCAAACCGCTGCTGCGACGCTCGTCTGCCGCGCAGATCTGTATGAGCTTATAAGGCAACACGTGACGCGAATTTTTCCACTGCGGCCATTTCAGGTAGGCTGCGGGTCTTCCGCGCCGGTCTGGAGCCGTAACAAATGGGACTCGGATAGGGATGGAAAAAAGAACATCGATGTTTTGCTTTCGATGTTTTCTTCAGATGAACGTATTTGTTCGCTAACATCAATACTTTCAAAAACAATTTTTCATGATACAAATAAAATTTCTAGAAAACTTGTTAGTACAAACATGCTATAACAGGGTTGTCCAAATGGCCCGCGGTGCCATTTATTGTAGCCCGCGACAGATTATTAATCGAAACACTCCCATGCATCCATGTCGGGCGAGAGTATTGGGCGTTTAGGGCACGCGCCAAGCCGGAGTGAACATCCCCTTTAACGCAAAAATTGGTCAAGTCCAACTTTTAAGTTGTTTTTTTTAAATTCAAAAAATTGAAATCATCACGTGTTTTACCGTGTTATGCATGATACGGCCTGATATCATGGTACCATTGCTCCCTCCCTCCGCGTTTCAGAGCAGCCAGGTAGAGCCGAGATCAACAACACGCGGGCGTTAGGTACGGATCGACTGAGTAATGAAAATATGGACCGCATCCCAGAGGCGAAACGTTCAGGCCCGCAATGCGGATGGGCTCAGTTAAAAGAGGGCCTACTTTTGGGGGATATTTTTATTATTTAAGGTACTAACCTACCGTGTTTGCTGTACCCTTTTATGAAGGGAGTCCGGATAAAAATTTTGCGAGCGGGCCCGCACTCATTTCGTTACGCAATTGCCGCATCCATATTAAAGGTTTGGGTCGTGGCCCCTGAGGCCTCGCTAGTTGGACACCCCTGAGCTATAAGCTGCATGAGCCACTAGATCCAAGTACCTCCGCGTTTCCTGCGACGGCCAGCCCGCGCGCCATCTCCGTCTCCGGCACCCCAGACGCCCGCAGTATGTCTTCCGCCAAGTCCACGAAACCTTCCCTGCAGGCGACCACCAGCGCCGATTCACCCTTCTTATTCCGCTTCACAAGAGACGCCTTGTGCTTCAACAGCAGCCTCGCCAAGTCTCTGTCCTCAGCCCTGACCGCGATCAGCAGAGGGGTGTCCCCCGTCCTGTCGGCTGCGTCCACGTTGGCGCCTCTCTCCAGAAGACGAGCCGCCACTTCGGCGTTTCCTTGCTTGGCGGCGCTCAGGAGCGGAGTCTCGCCGTCTCGGCCGGCCGCGTTCACGTCGGCACCCTTCTCCAAGAGGCAGGCGATGATGGCGACCCTTCCGTGCTTGGTGGCGTGCAGCAGAGGGGTGTCCCCGTCCTTGGCGGCCGCGTTCACGTTGGCGCCTTTCTCCGCCAGCAAGGCGACCACGGCGGGGAAGTTGCCCCTGTTGGCGTGTAAGGAGAAAAATTATTATTATTATTATTATTATTATTATTATTATTATTATTATTATTATAATTATTATAATTATTATTATTATAATTATTATAATTATTATTATTATTTATTCGCGAATGGGCCACTACTGACCACGCAACACGTTTCTCTCTGCGAGGCCCAGTTATATTCTATCTTGGAGAAATCAACGTTTGGAATTATGGGGATCAGCCTTTCAGCTGCATCCCTAGGTTATGACAAGATTGTTAACCTTTAATATCAATTAGGGAGGGATAGAGTGATGGTATTATTACTATTGCTATTATTATCAATAACATTTTATATTATATTACATACACACAACATTATATTTAATTATATATACAATTAATATATTTACAACTTTGTAAATATACAACTGCTGGATTCGCTTTTACTTCGATTTTTTTCTATGGTGGCCGATGACGTTAGGTCGTTGTTATACCTCCTGTCTTATAAAATGAATCTTTTCAAGAGTGGTAAGCATATTTCTGAGGTCACATGCACCGTTGAGAAGGACGTTCGCCAATGAATTAAAAATATTTATTTTATAAGGCAGGAGGTATAATACTGGCCTAATGTAATCGGACACTCCAGAGAAATCGATGTTTAATGAGCGTACAATACAAGCAATTTGAATACAAGTAGTGTAAAAAACTTGGCTACATACTATGCACTTTCTTGTATCTCTCTCTATTACACTAATTCTTTCACCTTTGTTCTCTAATACAATCACCTCACCTTATCCCGAACATTCCACCTTTCCCGCAATCTTCCTCGAAAAACCGACATCTCTCTAATACATTTTCGCGGTCTTCCTCTTTCATCTCACAAATCCTACTTCCCCCCCCCCCTGACTATTTAGCCAATATCTACTCACTTTAGTTTCATTTCCTAACCTGTATCTTTCTATCCTTCGCCTATCACATTGCTAACATTTCCCTTTTAAATAATTTGGAATATTATCCAAAGTAATAATTTTCTACCATTTGTTATAAGATGATTTTATAACCTTTTCGTAAACTTCCTGCAATAACCCCTTTATCCCTTTGATTCAATTTCTCACTTAATCTCTTCTCCAGTTAACCTTATCACATAATAACTTCTAACTCCGCCTAATAACTTTTCTTTTGTTGCGTTTTACGCGACTACTGTGATTGTTTTAATTGTGAGGAAACATAGGAAGAACATGCAAGGACAACAAGAACACACAAAAGCACCCGTGCGCGAGGCGGGATTCAAACCCGAACCCTTCGAGCCGAGGCAGCTACTGTCCTCCAGCCTTTTGAGCAAGAAACCTCTATCACGCCAAAAACTTCCCCAATCGGATTTCTCAGTACTCCTGAGTAACTCTCCCCTGTTCCTCAACAGATTTCTGTGTACTTATCTAATTCCCAGGAAACTTGCTATGATAACTCATTTCCCCGCCCTTTCCTAGAAAAGGAGTTAGTCAATTTTGGGCCAGGGCAATGCTAAAACGTAGCCTCGTCCCCACCAATTAAAATTGTGAAAGTTGTATCACGAAACTGTATGAGTTATTTTATTTCAAAAAATAACAATAATTTCAACGTTTGAATATATATATATATATATATA